AAAAGGTGGAACTTAGTAAACATGACTCAAGTGCAAAAATTATTCAGGCGCCCCAATAAATGAGGGCAATTTAATCAACATCACTTAATAATTGCAAAAAAATGTTTCCTTGGAAACGAAGCTCCAATCTATAGGTAACTATGTCGATGCAAAAAGAGAAAAACTCAATAAGTGTCGTCGAAATGCAAGGAACTATGAACACATGTATGCTAAACGCACGCATGGGGGATTTAATTGCAACAGAAAACATGCAGGCTAGTAGAAATCCTAAAGGAGCACAAAATTTCAGGAAAACATTAAAAAATATGAATAAAAAGCAAAAATCGAACAATATACAAATGAACAACAGACAAATGATAAAATATAGGAACAATTAATCAAATAATGCTGATTAGCCTCCCATTTTAGGCTCACAGAAGAAGCGAGAAGGAGATACATATTTTAAGTGAACCAAATCCAACCTCAGTCAGAAATCTGGCGTATTTTCTGGACAAACCGTAAAATAAACACGACCTGATATAACCTATATTTTGTCTGCACCCTTGTGTTCCTGTTCATGTTTTCTCAACTTCATTTCGTGACAACCCTACCTGGGTATCACCGTTAACTGCTAAGAATTACTGCAGAAACTTCAATTTTGTTGTTGACCAGCCGTGTACAGTGTACTTCCAAAGTGTGGTCAAATTTCCATGCACAGCTGCGGCTCAGCGAAAGAAAGTGCTTGTTATGGGAATTCGGGAGAAAAGACGTTATTGTAGGCTTCCTGTAAACCGTCATTTGGAGTTTCTCACCGCCGCCTTTAGCTGATGTATCTTGACAAACCTATACCCACTAATCTTGTGTCCTTTGCCAAGTAGCCTTTTATTGTCGTCAAGTCGATTATGTTACTGAAACCAGTAAACAGGTATCCTCGCCTGAAAAAAAAGTAACTGTATGCCTTTTCTTGTTAGCTGCTCGTTCGTCCTCGACAGGGTGTAACTTTGATTTTGAAAACATAGCAGATTTAGTTTAGTCGGATGACCGACGTTCGATTGAGGATTCGGTCAGTCAGTTAGAATATTTGAGGAAAAAATAGGCTTGCACCTTTGAACTCCCTATTTTTCACATCAAAATCTCAAGAATTAGAAACAGTGTTAACAAGATTCAGTCAGGAAAATAAAGACAACCACATGGTGCAGTAGTCAACATTTATCGCAATTTGTTATACAGGTACCACGCACTACTGAACGGATAAATGGAACTGGTGAAAGTTCTTTGCGATAGATGTTAGATAACTATATACTGTGCAATTCTTTTCAAAAACGCCTTAGTGATGAACTTTTGTGACAGCTCGAATCCTCATAAAAAACAATAGGTACCAGAGGCCACAGAGGTCAAGTTGTCCTCCACGAGGAGCACCGTGATCAAGATCCTACAGAAACAT